TTAAAAGCATATGGTGGCTCACAACTACCCATAACTGCAGTTTCAGAGGATCTAAAACCCTATTCTGTCCTCCAAGGGAATATACATACATGCAGGCAAAATACTCAACACATAAAATAAATATAAAAGAAATAGGTGCCCAATGGCAAGAAATTCTTGCTCTCTTTTTCTTATAGATTGGTATTCCAGAAAGTTAGAATCTTCTGCATAGCCCCACTTCCCCAATTCTCCATCCTGTTGGTTCAGGACCTATTTTAGTTAGGGTTTCTATTGCTGTGGCAAAACACTGTGACCAAAAAGCAGGCTAGGGAGGAAGGGTTTATTTGACTTACACTTCCATATCACTGTTCATCATTGAAGGAAGTCAGAACAGGAACTCAAAACAGAACCTAGAGACAGGAGCTGATGCAGAGGCTGTGGAGGGATGCTGCTTACTGGCTGCTCATCAGGGCTTGCACCTTCCCCATCAATTACTAATTACGAAAATGCCTTACAGCTGGATCTTATGGAGGCATCTTCTCAATTGAGGATCCTTCTTTTCAGATAACTCTAGTTTGTGTGTCAAGTTGACATAGACCAGCCAGCACAGGATCAAAGGCCTTATCTAATGAATATCATGGATTAAAATTGCCCCCTTTTCTGATTCTGGCATCAGTCAAGTAGCAGACTGCCTATAACTCTGACCTTAGAGTCAAGCAGGTGCCAGCCACCCAGTGCCACTGCTCTTGGATGAGTTCTTAGTGCACCTCATACTGAAAATGGATTGTATCAGGTTTTACAAGAAGGCAGTTGAGTTATCAACTGAGCCATTTCCCTAGTTTGACCATTGGTTAGGGAGTCAGTGAAAATGTATTATGCAGAGAAGAGGGGACACAGACCTAGCCAATTGATATTGGTTGTGTGTGTGTGGTGCTAGCATGCTAGGTGAATACTCCAGCACTGAGCTACAGCCCCATTCCTGTGTCATTTATTAATATCAAGTCTGAATATTCTTTCAAGCATTCAAGCAGCAGATTACCTTGTTTTTTTTCAAGTGCTCAATGTCATATGTCATAAAGAAGAGAAGAAGTTAAACTTTGGTGGGAGATCTGCCCTGTAGGATTGGCCAGGCTCAGAAGCTTGTAAATACCCGGGGTTTGGGCATGGCTGCCCTGTGTAAGCCTGTGGTGCTTGTTTTGAGGGTCTTGTCTGTCCTGCTACACCTCCTCCCCATACCAGGAATTGAATTCAGGGCCTTGCATTCTAGGCAAGCACTCTACCACAGAGCTACATCCTCTTTCCATTTTTTATTTTACATATTGTGTAGTTTCTGTGTGTGAGTGCACATGCTACTGTGTGAGTGTGAAGGCCAGTGTGTGGGAGTGGGTTCTTTTCTTCCACCACTAGGGGCTGGGGGAGCAAACTCATGTCCTTAGGCTTCGTGGCAAGCTGCCTTGCCTGCTGAGCCATCTCACTGACCCTAATTTTTTATTTTTTAACAAGTTGCCCAGCCTGGCCTTAAATTCATTCTATAGCCCAGGCAGGCCTTGAATTTTCAGGCTTCTGCCTCAATTTTCCAAGCACCTGGATGACGGGCTGGTATCAGCAGTTCTGGCCAATAAGTCTACACTTTAAATAAACTGACTGACCAGTTGCACTTTCTATTCCAGAAGTTAACGCACACAGACATGTGCATGCCTGCCATATGCAGATCTTCTGAATTATTTATGTAATGCTGTGTTGTTTGTTTGCAAGAGTGGACAGAATGAGGCAGTGGGAGGTGGAATTAAAGTCAAGTTTGTCATGTGAAGTTTGGCATAGTGTGGCTGTCATCAAGAACAAGGGTGCTCTTAAAGGAATGAGGACAAGAGGGCCTGACAGCAGGGGGCCGCCTTTCACTGGGCTACAGAGAGTACTTGTGTATTTTTGTTACAGATGTACTGGCTATCCTCTGTCTGGAAGGGTGCACAGGAAGTTAATAATAGTTGCCTCTGGAGAAGAGACTGTAGCTAGCGTTTTCCTGCCTGGCCCACAGTCAGGACAAATCTCTCACCCGCCAGTCCCACAGCCGTTCAGACCCAACCAAGTAAACGCAGAGACTTATATTGCTTACAAACTGTATGGCCGTGGCAGGCTTCTTGTTAACTGTTCTTATAGCTTAAATTAATCCATTTCCATAAATCTATACCTTGCCACGTGGCATCTTCACATGCTGCTTGTCATGGCGGCGACTGGCAGTGTCTCCTCCCACCTTCCTGTTCTCTCAATTCTCCTCTATGTTAGTCCCACCTATACTTCCTGCCTGGCCACTGGCCAATCAGTGTTTTATTTATTGACCAATCAGAGCAACAGATTTGACATACAGACCATCCCACAGCAAGAGACCCATGGGAGTGCTTAAGAACAGCTTGGGGCAGGACCCGTCAGTTCTTTCTCTCCCTCCTTCCCTTCTTCCCTTCCTTCTTCCAAAAGAAATGTCAAGAATTAGACAAAACTTGTCAGTAATGGAAGTTAGTTTTCATAGTCCAGTGTGGTGGCACAAACTTTTAGTTTCAGCACTCTGAGGCAGAGGCAGGCAAATTGCTATGACTTTGATGCTAGCCTGGTCTACATAGTGAGTTCCAGGCCAGCCAGGGCTGCAGAGTGAGACCCTGTTGCAAAAGAAAAAAACAAAAGAAAGAAGCTGGCTTCAGATGCCACTTAGGTTAAAAAAATAACAAGGAAAGGCTGGGGCTGTGGTCCAGCTGGAAGCGCTTACCCATCATGCACTAGGCCTTGGGGGTCATCAGTGCCACAGAAAACTGGGTGTGGTGGTGCAAGCCTCTAATACATTTCATCCCAGCACTCTGGAGGGAGAGGCAGCAGGATCAGGAATTCAAGGTCATGTCTGCCCTATCTGCAGTTTGAAGGCAGCCAGGGCTGAGACCTTGTCTCAAAATAAGTCTGGTGAGAGAAAAGTGCTTGTTGCCAAACCTGAGTTTGATCCACATGGTGGAAGAAGAGCTGGCTCCCAAAGTGGTCTTCTGACTTCCATATGCACATATACATTAATAAATGTAAGAAAAAACTTTTTCTTTTCTTTTTTTAAAGCAAGGTGCAGAATAGAGTTGACTTAATGGTACCTTTAAGGAAAATTAAATCATTTGCATTTGGGTGATGTCTGGAAGGATAGCTTAGCAAGGGAAGGAAACTTAGCAAGGAAAGCTCACCTGTGAGGAGGTTTAACAGGCTGTGAGTAAGGGGCGAAAGGCTAATTTTTCACCATATATTATTTTCTATACTTATAAAAAGTTTTAACATCATGTAATTACCTGTGAAGAGCAAAGAAGTACCAAAAGAAAGGAGTCATGGGTGAATTTATGTGTACATGGATGGAGGGATGATGGGTGATGGTGGTTACTGACAAGATGATAAATGGTGCTGGTGGTGGCACTGGTTACTGCGTGGAAAGGTCACGATAATGACAGAACCCAGTGTTAGTTTTTAGAGCTTTAGTAGGAGGGAAATGGGGTGGGGGTGGGGTGGAGGAAGAGGAGAGCCAGGCCTGGAGAGAGAGAGATGGTGGTGGTGGGGGGCGGGAAGGGAGCAGAGCAGAGAGCAGAGAGAGAGGGTGGGGTCTGAGTACAGCAGGTGGTCTGAGATGGTGGCCCTTTTCCTAAGATGGAGCCTGTAAAGTTAAGTCTAGACCTTCACATTCCAACTGCAAGGATTAAAGGTGTGCGCCACCACACCTGGCCCAGCACTTTATTTATATTTTTTAAATTAAAAAAGTTTGTGGCAGCTAGGCAGTGGTGGCGCACACCTTTAATCCCAGCACTCAGGAGGCAGAGGCAGGCGGATCTTTGTGAGTTTGAGGCCAGCCTGGTCTACAGAGCGAGATCCAGGAAAGTCGCGAAACTACACAGAGAAACCCTGTCTCGAAAAAACCAAAAAAAAAAAAAAAAGTTTTGTGGCTTCAGTGAGATGGTTCAGTGGGTAAAGATGCTTACCAACAAGCCTGACAACATGCGTTTGATTCTTGGGACCCACATAGTAGAAAGAGAGAACCAACTTCTGCTAGTTGCTCTCTGACCTTTACTTGGATGCTGTTGCGAATGTGCGTGCACACACACAAGTATAATATAATGTTAAAAGGTGTTGTGTATACATATGTGTGCAAGTGCATGTTTATGTATATATACATTTGGAGTTCAGAGAACATCTTTAGCTGTCATTTCTCATGTGCTGTCAACTTTGATTTTTTTAAGATGAGGCTTTCACTGGCCTGTAGCTTGCCAAGTACACTCCATCCTCCCAGCATTGTAATTACAGGTGTGCACTGCCACACTGAGCTTTAAACATTATTATTATTCTTTTTATATAGTCCCAGCTGGCCTAGAACTCACTATATACAGTAGGCTTTCCTCAAGCTCACAGAGATCCATCTGCCTCGCCTCTGCTGGGATCAAAGGCATGTGCCACCATGCCTGGCCCCTAGTTTTTTTTTTTTTTTTTTTTTTTTTTTAATGTGGGTCCTAGGGATTGAACTCAAGTCCTCATGCTTTCTCAGCAAGTACTTTAATACTGAGCCATCTCCTTAGCTCTTGACAGTAGAATTTTCTATGAACATCTAGCCTAAGGACAGACACACAGTACTGCTATCTGGGCATTATGTGCTGATGGTGATAAAGGTCTGGAGTCTTTAATTCTTGAGGCAAATGTGCAAATGACCTTATGATCCCCAGGTTCTTCAAAGTTCAAGAGATCATCTGTCCTTCAGGTCCCTTTAAGTGACAACCTACCTCCATCTCTTAAGCAGAGGCACTTGCAGCCCTAGGCTTACCTGCCCTTTGCTCCTGTTAACTTGCTGCCTTGGCTCTCTGGCAACTGACGTTTTGAAGTTTGCATACGTGTGCTGAGAGGTCCCTGGATGTAGGAATCATGGTTTATTTCTTTGAGCCTATAGTAGCTGGATTTGAACTCTGTGAGCCCTGTTCCCTCGTAGTGTGACAGCTGACCTTTGCATGTGCTTGTGTCCACAGGATTGGAATGTCACATGGCACACCAGCAGCCCTGACTTTACCAAGTGCTTTCAGAACACCGTCCTCACATGGGTGCCTTGTTTCTACCTCTGGTCCTGCTTCCCCCTCTATTTCCTCTATCTCTCCCGACATGACCGGGGCTACATCCAGATGACAAACCTCAACAAAGCCAAAACTGTAAGTCACCTAGTGTCGATGTGGGGTGGGGCACAGAGATAGGTATGCAGCCCAGCCTTTTATGAAGTAGGCAGAAGAATGTGATAGATCAAGGCTGGAAATTTGGAGCTAAACATAGGTTCAAAACATGACTTTTGAGTGAATATTTAACCTCCATGGTCTGAGTTTCCCTGTGTATGCCCTGGGGCTGCTGGAAGCTTTCTCAGGAGAGTATCATAAGAAGGTATTCATGAATTAAAACAATTTTCTTGTATTTTTTTTTTTAAACTTTGAAAGTTATTTCAGGTCTGAGGGGATGGCTCACGGATCCCCAGAACCCATGTGAAAGTTGAGGTAGAGACAGGAATCCCTGATTAAGTTGGTAGCCAGACTAGCTGAAAAGGGATCTCTAGATTCAAACAAGAGACCTTGCCTCAGGAATAAAGTGAAAGGCAATCAAAAGATACCTGGTAGGAACCTCTGGCCTCAGTGTGCACCTGTACCTGCACATGTGTGTGTCCCCACACACATGGACACGCATGACACTCACATGCAGAAAAAAACAGAAAAAGTTTTCATTTTGAAATAATTTCAGACTACAGAAAATTGCCAGGATAATACAAATCCTGCACCAGCCTCTCTGCCTGAGCATCACATTTCCAGTGTTGCCATTTGTTTCCTCCTTAGTCTTTGCTTTTTTCATGTGCACATATTCCTATGAATTTTTTTCTTGGCCCTTGTGAAGAGGTAACATATACCATGCCCTTGAGCTCCTTAATCCTTTTTCTATCCTGTTTTTTTTTTTTGAGGCAGGGTACTGCTCTGTAACCCAGGCTGGCCTGGAACTCCAGATCCCCCTGCCTTTGCCCCTGCTCTTCCCATGCTAGGATTTCAGACCACCACACCTGGTGTATCCATCACTCTTCAGTATTTCTTTTCTCAAATTGGGCTGTTCTTTTATTAAAGTATCATCAGTGACAGGCAGGAATGGAACCATCTCAAGCCCCTGAGGGGCTCTAGCAGCTGTGGCTAGATGTCAGATTCCATGCAAGGTACTAGGGGTATGAGAATAAGTAAGATGACTGGGTATGGTGGAGCACATCTGTCTTCCCAGCACTCAGGAGGCTGAGGCAGGAAGATCAGGAGTTCAAGGCCAGCCTGGGCTACATAGTGTGACCCTGTCATAGAGACAGAGTAAGAAGCCAGATGCTTTAACTGAGGACCTTGGAGGTCACCTGGTGTCCTTGTGGTAAGCTTTTTTGTGGATGGTAAGAGAGATCCCAGGATTGTTGTTGTAAGGTGCCGTGATGTTCCTTTTCTTCCAGGCTTTAGGATTCTTGCTGTGGATCATCTGTTGGGCAGACCTTTTCTACTCTTTCTGGGAAAGACATCAGGGAGTGTTCCTAGCCCCAGTGTTACTGGTCAGCCCAACTCTGCTGGGCATCACTATGGTGAGTTGTTGACTGGTGGGACTAGCAATGAGAAATGAGAGGACTTGGGCTGTGGTGTGCCTGAGTGGTAGAGTGTTTGCCTAGAATGAGCAAGGGCATGAGTTCTATCAACAAAAGAGAAGTTTCTCAATGAGCCAGGCATGGTAGCACATGCCTTCGTCCTAAGCACTTGTTGGGCTGGGGAGTTCAAGGTCAACCTGGGCTACGTGAGACCCTGTTTCACAAAGCCAAGAAATAGAGGTTAGAGAGATGGTTCATTACTTAAAAATGCTTGCTGTTCTTGCAGAGGACCCAAATTTGGTTCCATCGTGCACACTGGGTGGCTCATAACTCTTGAAATTCCAACTCCAGGAGGATTCTTCTTCTGACCTTTGTGGGTACCCACATACATTTAGTACATGCATAGACACATACACATACCTATTAATAAAAATAAATCTGAGAAAAACAAAAACAAAACCTAAAACCAATAGACAGGACTGATGAGATGGCTCAGAGGATCAAGGTGCATGTTGTGTAAAGCCTGAAGACGTGAGGTCAAGCCCTTGATCCCATACAAAGGAAGAAGAAGGGAACCAACTCTACATAAGTTGTCTTCTGACTTACACATACTCACCAGGGCATTTGTGACATACATATTTTGTGTGCATGTGTACACACACACACACACACACACACACACACACACACACACACACACTAATAAAATTCTTAAAACCTCCAAAACAAAATATGCAGAGTCACTAATGTTTAGGGAGCCATCAATAGGAGCCACAGTCCCTACCCTGCTCTGCAGCTCACTACATCTTTAAGTGAAGTTTACAGACTTTTATTTGTAGTAATTTCTTGAGAGATGGATTCAGGAGTTCTGAGGCTTTAGGGAGGCAGAATAATAAGCAAAGTGGGAAGCAGTGCTGGCTTATAGGACCCCAGCTCAGCACCAAAGACAGTTGTCTTTGAGTTCACAGAAACATGGTGAACGGGTACTGAGTCTGGCAGGACTCCTGGTGTTGTACATGAGCTTCAAGTCATTTCAAGATCGACCCTGTGGGACAGGCACCATGTGTCTCCTTTTATAGGTCATGAGATGAAGGCACAGAGAGGCCCAGGGTTGTGTTTGAGGTTGTGCAGTTCATGGGTAGCTGAGCCAGGCTTGGGTCCTGTGCTGTCATGTGTGTAACTGCTACATTGTTGTCACAGAGTGATGTTTCCAAATTAACTTGTGTGCTTTGGGCTCCTCTGAGAAGCCCAGAAGGTTCTTAGAGAACAGAAGCCTTGGCAGCTGGAGGGAAAGGAGGAGGAGCAAACTCAGAGCTGACTTGGGAGCAGAGAAGAAGTTTATCTACAGAAGGGTTGGAGGTGTGTAAGTAAGACCAGGCTGTAAAGCAAGGACAGTGGAGGTTCAGGAGAGAGGGGTGTGGACAACTGGCTCAGTACTGGGGACAGGGAAGACATAGTGCTGCTGATGGCTATGTTTACCAGGTGCCAGGCACAGTACTGACTCCTTCATGACTCATTTTCATACATTTGCACATTCTTCCCATGTTTTAGATAAATGAGTAGAAGTCCAGAGAGGTGAAAGGACTGGGCTAAGGTCACAAAGCCAGGAAATGGTAGAGCCATATTCCCACTGCTGTCCTGATGTCTCTGGTGGCTCTTGACTTACTCTCTGGTTCTCCTGCTGGCCTGGGATTCCTTGCAGGCACTCTAGTAGGCAGTCAGCAAACATGCTGTTGCCCTGACTGTGAGATAAAAGTGTTGCCTGTCTGAGCACAAAGACATCAAATGGTTTCTTTACAAAAGACTAAAGCTAGGTGCAGAGCTTTGAGTAGGGGCTCTGAACTTGGACCTGGGGATGCTAGTGAAGGAGACTTCATTGAGGGGAGGAATAATGAAGCTGAGGCCCAAAGGTGAATAGGATGAAGGGGGTGAGGGCAGAGGACTATCCTGTTGAGAGCAGCATGTCCAACAGTCCTAGAGTAAGGGAGAAATCGAGGGTTGTCCTGTGTGTCTGGAACAGAGATGGAGAAGAGGGGATCAGGGAGAATGTGACAGTTGGGAAGTAGAGTACCCCAGGGAACTCTAGCCTCACAGCAAGTGGGTTCTGCTTTGCTTTGTCTCTTCTCAAAGCTGGGTGTCAGTTCTAAACTGAGCTTTCTTCACATCCCTGTTAGGGCTTTACTAGAATCAGGGACTGGGGAGATGGCTCAAGTTTCTAAGAACACTTGCTGCACAAGCATAAAAATCTGTTCAAATCTCCAACACCCATGTAAAATGTTGGACATGCCATATATATCTTTAACCCTATGCTATGGAGAGCAGAGGCAACTTGGCCACTACCCAGCTCTAGGTTAAATGAGAGGCTCTCTGTCAAGAGAGTAAGGCAGAGAGGATGGAGCAGGACACTCAGAATTGTCCTCTGGCATCCATATGTATACCCACACAGAGCATATATGACACACACACTCCCATACAAATACACACGCAGAATAAAAAGAAACCTTTAGAAAATTGCTACAGCTTGGGCTAGAGAGATGGCTCAGAGGTTAAGAGCACTGACTGCTCTTCCAGAGGTCCTGAGTTCAATTCCCAGCAACCACATGATGGCTCACAACTATCTATAATGAGATCTGGTGCCCTCTTCTGGCCTGCAGTTATACATGCTGTATACATAATAAATAAATAAATCTTTTTTAAAAAAAAAAAGAAAGAAAAAAATGCTACAACTCTTTAGGTAGGTGCTATGGTACAGCTGAGACTGGGGTAAGTGCCTCTTCAGGCAGTTCTTGGACCCCTGAGTCATGCATGGTTACCCAGGTGCCACTGTGGGGCCTGAGTTCTTGCTTTCTCTAAACTGTTATGTACCTCTCTCTTCCAGCTGCTCGCCACGTTTTTAATTCAGCTTGAGCGAAGGAAGGGAGTCCAGTCCTCGGGGATTATGCTTATTTTCTGGCTTGTAGCCCTACTGTGTGCCATCGCCATCTTGAGATCTAAGATCATTTCTGCCTTAAAAAAGGTAATTGATGGCCTGTGGGAGAGATGCTTATTCCATCGTGTATGGTCATGTGTTGATATGGGAACCACAGGATGGGGACCACATGGACCCTGCTTCTTTTCTAGGGACAAAATTCTCACCAGTCAGGAACAGACTTTGTTCTAGAGCCTTCTTTCCTCTATGCAGGCAAATGTTGTGTTACACTAGTCCTCTGCAGTGTATGTAGGCTGGCTGGACTGGAACTGAGCTGAGTTGAGCTGGGAGCTGTGTTTGCCCGGGAGCTACTCCCCAGGGGCCCTAGACGTGTCCCCATGTTACCTTGGTGCAACCAGCTGCAACTCTGGCAGGAAGTTGTTAGGGCTGGCTGCTGTGTGCCACTCCCAAAGCTTTTAAAGAGTGTGCACTTCTTGACTAATCAGCCATTTCTTGTTATCTGGGAGCTAGAGACTGCCATGAACATGGAAGAGGGATGGAGCAGTTGTGGAGCACCTATGGTATAGAGCACCGCCTCTGTGCTAGTGACAGCAGCTGGCATTAGTTGAGTTTATGTTTTCCTAAGTGCTTCTTTAGGACTTTATGTTTCTGGTGAATAATCTGAAGACAATGCGCAGACCCTAATGAGGTATCTCTACCTCAGCACTAACTGACAAGTGGACAGAGATTTCTTCATTGTGGGGCACTGTCCTGTGCTTTGTGTGGTATCTAGGGGCACCCTGGCCTCCATACCCTGGGTGCTAGGAGCACCCTTTACCCAAGTTAATGACAAACAAAATGTCCCCAGACACTGGAATTTGTTGCCTAGGAGGCAAACCACCCTTGGTTGAGAGCTACTGGTGTGCTCAGCAGTGGAGAAGCCAGGGCTCAGAAAGGTTAAGTGAATGGATAAGGTTTCATAGCCCGAAGGAACAGGGACAGACCTGTCCATTCCCTACTGTGGGATGCTATCTGGGCACAGGGGACAGAGTCACCTTTCTTCTGTCTTGTCTCAAACAAGGGAAACGTGGGGATGCCTGTAGCAGGGGAGATAGGTTTCTGCAGCCTACTCTTGGGGCTTGTCTTAGTCCTTTTTTACTGTTGCTATAATCAAATCCTATAGTCAGGATGATTTAGAGAGAAGAGAGGTTTATTGAGCTTGTGGTTCTGAAGGCTGGGAGGTCTGAGGTCTTGGGGCTGCATCTGGACAAAGCCTTGCTGGTGAATTCCCTGTAGAGGCCCTGTGACAGCTCAGGACATCATGAGGATACCAGCTTGTATCTCTTCCACCTCTTACAAGTACTCATAACACCATGGACTCCCACCACTGAACACCATTTCCTGTGACTGTAAGGATTTGGTGAGGCATTTGTACCCTGCTTCCAGGGAAGATTATGGTGATCTGTGTCCCTTGCCTTCTCTCCTGCTCAGGATGCCCAAGTGGACGTGTTTCGAGACACCACATTTTATGTGTACTTCACCCTCGTGCTTATCCAGCTTGTGCTGTCCTGCTTCTCAGACAGCTCACCCCTGTTCTCCGAAACTGTCCATGACCTGGTAAGTGTGACCCAGACATGTGTGCACAGGTGGGAGAGAAATAGTCTGTGCCAGCTAATACCAATTGGGTACTGGTTCTGAACTCAACACCAACTGGAAGTTCTGAGCCTCATGTTACTAGTTCAGACTCACCTTCGTTCTTCCAAAAGACCATAGAGAAATCACTCAACCTGGGTTTGGATATACCAGTGTCCCTGGAGGCAGAGAGTCTGCTTTGCTGTATTCCTGGCTGTGCCTTATGACCTAGCTGATAGCTTTTACCCAGCATGGTGATTTTTGAAAATGGGAGCAGAATCCACAGCTGAAAACTTAGCAAAATATACATGAACTCCAACCTTCCAGGCTTTCTAGAAATATGGGAAGTCTTGGCAGATTAGGGCCATGGTCTCACAGGGCAGTAGTTGATAGGGGCTAGGGCTGTGGATCCCCATTGTCTTAGATCTTGAGTTTCTTCTACGGTACCCACCAGGCCCTCTGCCACCTCTGTCAGTTCCAAGGACGTTCTGTGAGCTGCTGCTGGTCTGTCTTTCCCTCTTTTTGGTCTGTCCTTAGCCCTTTCCTCCTCTACTTCTTTTTTGTTCCTCCTTTCCTCTTTCTTCCCTCTTTACCCCTCCCTCCTTCATGTATATATCAAGTGTCCCTCCAGGCGTCCTGGCGTCCTTTGGGGTTCTCATCAGCCCAGTGGGGGTACCATTTACCTAGACCAGGTTCTATCAGACAGTAGTCTGTAGGCAAATCCCCACCATCCACTGGCTTTTGTCAAGAAGTTTATATTGGAACATAGTCTTGCTCATTCATGAAAATATCCCACATGGCTGTTGTGAACTTAAAAAGAGAATTAAGCCGGGCGGTGGTGGCGCACGCCTTTAATCCCAGCACTCGGGAGGCAGAGCCAGGCGGATCTCTGTGAGTTCGAGGCCAGCCTGGGCTACCAAGTGAGTTCCAGGAAAAGGCACAAAGCTACACCGAGAAACCCTGTCTCAAAGCCTGACATTTGCTGTTTTGTTCTCTGCAGATGAAGTTTACCAGTCCCTAGTCTGGAACATTCTTTTAGCTCTGCTAATTTGGTGCCTTGCATTTGTATCTCCTCTTTTTCAGGGCTTCTTTCTTCATGTGTACACACAGTGCAGTCACATGAGTGGTGAGAACAGGGCATAGCTGTTCACTAGCTCCCTGCTGTGCTGAGCACTTCATACACACACACACACACACACACACACACACACACACACACACACACACACACACGCCTCTTTTGTCCCATTTTTCAGACAGAAAAACTGAGTCATAGGGACTTAAGTCCATTGAAATTGCAGAGTAGGATTTTGAACCTAGGAAGGCTTGGCCCTTCTGTAGAACCCCATTACTTCTCTTGGCTACACTCTACTTGAGGACAGGTTTAATAATGGCTGGATTGGTTCTTCAGGCCCAAAGGTAGAAATTGCCCTGGGATCTTGCTGCCTCAGGCAGGGCTGGCATGTGTGGACCATTAGTTCCTATTTCTGCTATAACACTGTAGGGAGAGGCGTTCAGTCTAAGGGTCCTCTGAGGTCTGCTTGGGACCTCCTGGGACATGGGATGAGGTTTCTACTCTGTCCATTTCCCCTAAAACCAGGAAGGAAGTAGAAGTACCAGTGTGCTCAGAGAGCTGCTAAAGTCCTGGTGTCATGCCAAAACTTGGTTCCTTCTAAAGATGTTATGTTTGTTTATTATGACAAAATATATGCAACCTAAGATCGACCTTAACTGCTTTAAGTGTACAGCTGAGCAGCATCAGGAGCTTTTGATTTCATTCATACCACAGGTACTGTGGCTGACTGGCAAATATTTCAACTGAGACTGTATTAGACACACAGAATCCTGAACCCTCCTGGGGCCAAACCTGACACAACGTTGGCAGCATCTCCAGGTTGTTTAGATGTGTGTGTGTGTGCAGAAAAGCTGAAGGGAGACTGGTTCAAAGCTCTCAGACTTGAATGGGAGATTTGTTTGTTTGTTTACTTGCTTGCTTTTTTTCCTTTTCTTTTTTTCTTTTTTTTTTTTTTTGAGACAGGGTTTCTCTGTGTAGCTTTGTGCCTTTCCTGGATCTTGCTCTGTAGACCAGGCTGGCCTCGAACTCACAGAGATCCGCCCGCCTCTTGCCTCCCAAGTGCTGGGATTAAAGGTGTGTGCCACCACCGCCCGGCAAGGGGATGCAAGTGTTTCAACACTGAGCCACATCCCCAGCACCAACAGACCAAAAAAAAATTGGGGCTTAGAGAAGTTGTGCTAGTAGACTCTAATTTAGATCTAATTTATGTGGAAGAGAAACCAGCCTCCTCTTGGAGTTGGGTTGACCCTGGGCTCTAAGTCCACCTGTGTCCTCTTGTGCCTTCAGTGAACATTTTGCAACACCTCTGGTATATGATACACCTGATGCTAGAAGCATGGCAGTATGCATAACAGTCATGGTTTAAGCAGTGGGTGCCTGGAACTGGCAGACCAAACTGATACAAAGTTACCAGGAGAAAATGTTGATTATATATACACGGGGGTTAGGACTCACAGACAGACAGTAAGAACCCCTGAGAGCCTGAAAACTTACATGCCTTCTTAACAAAGGGAGATATATTTGTGGAGAAGCAGCAGGACAAAGGGGTTGTAGAAGTGGCAGATATGAGGGGTTGATGTGTCGGTTTGTAATGGAGGGTGAGGATTGTTTTAGTGTGGGTTGTGTGGCCTGTCTTGCTGCCACTATTAATACTGTTTGTTCTTTTCCCTTTCTGCAAGTGGAGAAGGGGGAAGGTATGTGTCCTGCTTTTAGGCAGCTCGAGGAAGAGAAAGGAGCTTCTGTACTTGCTGCTGCTTAATTTCAGTTCTACACTGTATGCCAACGTGGCATATCCAGGGCTGGCCTATGCCAAGATCAGAATCTCAATGCCATGTCTTTTGTACTTACAGTGTATGTAGCTACTTACATAGCAATTACATTGTATTCAGTACTATGAGTAATGAAGAGATGATTTAATGTAATACGGGGGTTGTGGGCAGGTTGCATTTTGGTACCTAAGGGGGATCCAGATAAAGCAGTACTGGATTTTGTCTCATGAAATTACAGTAGCTCATGCTGTTTCAGGGTCCTGTGTTGACTGGGCCCAGCCAGGTGGTTTTCAGTCATTCTCTTCTTTAGACATAGTGAGATGGTGGCTGGACCTTCAATTAACTCTGGCTTCTTCAATGTGATTGGAGGCTGGCCATTGCTGGAATGACCCTGCGTGTAGCCTGGGCTTCCTCACTGCATGGAGCTGGTCTCTGTGCATTCCACATGGAATCCAGTTCACTTAACACCTAGTCCTGGGGTCCCATAATGTTGTCCTGTTATGTTTAGTTTGGTTATCACATAGATCTGCCCAGGTACGAGAGGAGGTGATAGAGACCCTACCTCTAGGGTATCTCATGTTACAGAAGGTCTCCTTTGATGCAGTGTCCAGGTTCTTTTTTTTATTTATGTGTACATTTGTGTGACTGCTTCTCTTTATAAGCACCATAGATGTGTGGGTATCCTCAGAGGCCAGCAGAGGGCATCAGATCCCTTGAGACTTGAGTTATGGACAGGTGTGAGCTGCTTAATGTGGGTGCACTGAACTTGGGTCCTCTGCAAGAACAGCAGTGCTGAACCCTCTCCACCCCTGAGTTTCCAGGTTTGCGTGTGTGTGTCCTGAGCAAAGAATGGAAGGATAGAAACAGTGAAAAGTGTATCTTTATTAGAAGTGAAAGGGTAAGTGTACTCTGGGAGGGTGTGTGTATGTGTGTGTGTGAGTGTGTGTGTGTGTGTGTGTGTGTGTGTGTGAGAGAGAGAGAGAGAGAGAGAGAGAGAGAGAGAGAGAGAGAGAGAGAGAGAGAGAGAATATGGACGGACAGTCAAGGCTCTAGGAAGAGGAGAGCCAGGGTCTTCAAGGCCCGAGGAATGGTCCCCAAGTCAAAGGAATGAGAGATAGTGTTGGTTAAGCAGTGGCTCCAGGCGGCGGCCATGCCGACAGGTGTTGCAGTGGTGGAAGAATCCCGAGCCATGGTTACCTTTCTAGAGCTTTATTGGGAGGGAGGGAGGGAGGGAGGGAGGGGGAGAGAGAGAGAGAGAGAGAGAGAGAGAGAGAGAGAGAGAGAGAGAGAGAGAGAGAGAGAGAGACCCTGTGTGGAGGGAAGAGAATGTGGAAAGAGAGGGGACAGAGAGAGCACGCTCACTTTTTAGGCTGGGACGCCGTCTCAGGCTGGTGACGTAATCCTTACATCCCAGACTTTCGCTTATTATAAAAAAAAGCAGGTAGATGGGATTAGGGGTGTCGTTTCTCTCAAAAGCTGCTTCCAGCTGACTGTTGGCTGTTGGTTGGCTCTTGGGGGAGTCTTCTGAAGTAGACAGGCGTTGTGGGATGCTTTCTGTCATCTGTTTGCTCTGGAGACGTGCATCCCTCTTGGCTGTGGCTGTGAATCTTCTGTCTGACAAGATGCTGGTGACATAGAAAATAACTTAGAGAGAAAAGAATCATTATTATTTTATGTTGGTTGATCCGGCCTGTCCAGATGGATTTTGAAACATGTTCAGCTTTATCAGAGACAGATTATTTTAAAGCACCTGTTTCCTTTACTAGTTCAGCATCCAGGAGACAGGTGATCAATTGTTAAAAGCATCTTATAGTAATAGATGTTTACATTAAAGTCTTTTTTGTAGCACCCAGACACTTGGGTCTGGGGGTGTAAATACCTTTTAGCTGTTACAGTTTCTTACTTGATGATCTCTGAACTCTGGCTCTGTGGTGGTCCTGTACCATTAGCTGAACAGTGAGTTAGAATAGGGAATTGGGAAGAGAAAAGCTTGTGGTACATGAGAACTTATTTTTTTGTTATTAGGGACAAGGCAAAGATCAGGGCCCTGTCTGTATGCATGTGAGAAACACAGGCATTAGATCTGGAGTGAGGCCATGAGCTCTTATCTTAGCTGGAAATCTTTTTCCATTAAGTAACTG